CCTTATAGTGGATCGGACCATTGGTTCATCAAGGTCAGTACTGTCCACTCAGACTGGCAGCAGCTCTCTCACCTACTGCCAGACCGTTAACCAGAGGGCCAGAGATTAAACCTAGGACCTTCAGCATACCAAGCAGATGCTCCTCCACTAAACCATAGATTCTCCCCATTTATCACAAAATGGAATGATATAATCAACTGGAGACCAGTAGCCCTCATATAGAGGAGAGCAAATTGTTGGATCTAAGCCCACCAAGTGACATAGGTGCACACAGAATTGCAGGAAGCCTGGTGGACAAAACAGCAGAGGTGAAAGGATCTTGATCACCAGAGACTTTGTCAGTAGGAGACGCCAAGGATGGAACTTGGCCTCTTGTACATGGACAAAAGATATGCAGAACTCTGAGACATCACGTTCAGTGAAGGTGGGAAAGAAATGTGACTCAGGGATCTGACAGCAAGCCTATTATTGCCCCCAGAATATTGTCCGACTGGACAGCAGAATTCACAGCATCTGTGAGGAGGTCATTTATTTTAATGTTTTGTTTTGTTTTTCACTTGTTTATTTTATTTATATTAACTCCTAGGGTAAGGTAACATTACTGATCTGAATTAAAGGAACAGATTTATCATGCAGATCACCAGCATAGGCTGTGAGCCACAGTGCATTAGGATAGCTAGAACTCACAACATTCCTCCCATAGGGAGGGAAGGAATCATCCATGCAACAGAATGCCCTTTTCCTCACAACTGAGAGCTTGGCAGAAATGTGTCAGCAAGCTGCCAAAGAACTCTGTGTGGTGTACAACCTTCCCTGTTTACAACCTTCCCCCCATGTTCCCTAGTGATACCCAAATGCGCATGCTTGCTGGCATAATGAATCGCACGGTTGCTTGTCTCATGCATTCCTTTCTATGAACGCTAGTGCTGCTTTGAACTATAGTAATCAGCAAGGTCACAGGTGTGGGGAAGAGTCGGCTTCGCTTAGTCTATAATGAATTAGAGTGTGAGAAGAGATTAATTGTTTATCTTTTAGGAACCGTTGATTCTCAGGCTATGGGCGCGAATATGAGAGTCCACCCGCGCGAGCGGGAACCATGTCTATTGGTTATTGCCAGTATGAATCTGCTTTATTATTCTTTGCCCCGACCGTTGTAGTTATTCTAAACAGTGAACTTGTTCCTGCTTCATCATGGCTTCAATAAAATAATACTTTGCTACAAACGTGTATTTGACTGACAGCTGTGGGGATCGGACAAAATGACACACAAAATACTCGGGGGTAGGAGAAGGCAGCTTTGAGTTTGTATGCAAGAAGTTCCACAACTTTCCATCTTAAGAAGGTTTACAGAAGAGCTGTCTGGCCCAAAGGCATGAAAAAAAACCCACAAGACAACCTGCTCCCCTGTCTGTACCTTCAGAGGAGCTCTGGCAGTCTCCCTTGGAGCGAAGAAGACTCCCATCCCCACCGTCCATGGCTCTTCGCAGAGACAAGCTGCCTGCTGCCCCACTTCGACCAGCTTTGGCGGAATGGCTTTTCTTGTGTGTAGCTGCAACACAAACACATGCCCCGGAATGACTTTAAGAGCAACCGTGACCACAATTTTCAGGAAGAATTTTCAACTGGATGCCTCACATACTTATGGTCATCCCCCTGTCTTAGGGGAGTCTGCATGCAGTCAGCTCTCTCCAAGACAATCTGTCCTTGGCACTCCCGAAGTTTCTCAGGGCCCCAGGACAAGCTCCTCCAGCTACGATGGCCACACTAATTCGAGTGCTCATTATCCCAATTCTGGTCCATCATATCTCAAGGAGCAGCTACCTAATTCAAGAAACTGCTTGTCTTGTGACTCGCCAAGATAAATGCAGCTTGATAAACTTTATTTTGCAATCTACCCATAACAGCGAAATCTGGAAAAACTGTCAAGCATCCAGGGGGGCACAACAGATGGCTTCTTGGAAGAGCTCGGCTTGGTGGGTCACAAGTTATGCAGCTTTGGTCTACTCCAGAGGTGCACAACTCAAGGAGTTACTGGAGACAGACTGGGGCTTGACTGCAACCATGCCCCACCCTGCAGCCATTTCAGGTTGGGAAAAGCAGAAGGGGGGTGGGAGGCTTAAGCTCCCTCTCCCCATGTGCCCTGGTTCCAGGCTGAATTGGGGCACTGTATACCACAAAATGAGCTTTCAAAAATACGTCAGAACCTCCAAACATGGAACTCACATCTGGTAAGGTCCTCAGAAGAGAGGTACCAGCTCTCCCCAAAGGGAAGGCCTGCCTTTCGGCGGTGTCTGATGCACTGCACTCGCTTGTGGGCAATGCTCCCTCTAAGCTATGGAGTCTTGTGAGCAAAAATTCTACTTTGTGAGCTGCTGGCATTAAAGTTGTGAGCGAATGATTTGGCTACTGCATAAATCAGTTTGCTCTGGAGCCATCCTTCCTGAGCTAAGACAAAAAATGTGTGAGCCAGAGGCTAAAAAACTGTGAGCTAGCTCACACTAACTCAGCTTAGAGGGAACATTGCTTGTGGGAGGCTAAAATTTACAGGGGGGAAACATTGGTAAAAGTTGTTTTTCTGCAACAGAAGCTGCTCCCTACATCCAATGCACTGGCATGTGTAAGTAAGAGGGATCTACCTGGAAAGAAAGAATCTGTACGCAAGGAGTAAGATGCAGGGTAAGAAAAGAAAAAGAGGCTGACAAAGAAAAGAGGAAGAAAAATCAAGGCTGAAGGAGAGAGAGGAGCAACTGGTGGAAAAGGGAAAAAAGGGACAGGAGAAAAGGTAAAAAGAAAGGGTGAAGAAAGAGGGGAAGTGAAAGGCAGAGAAATGCAACGCAAGGAAAAAAGGAAGGCCCTCCCACCAGCATCTCTTCCCACATCCCAAAGAATTCAGACACGTGGTGGGAGGGAGCGGTAGTGGCCCTTCAACCTGGACCGCATCCACCAATTCCTGTTAGCAGCTCTTCCGACTTATCTGGCTCCCATCCAGGTATCCTCTAGTCACCAGCCCACAGCCCTACTCTTCTGTGCCTCTCTGGCAAGGAGCAAGGCTGGCCATGGAGCTCTTGCCCTGTTCCTCCAAATCTGTGCAGCAGGTCAGCAATTGTACAGCCAGGCAGTTGCTGCTGTTGTTCAGCTGGAGGAAAGGGGGACTTGGGGCAAGCTGGCAGAGGTGACGTCGGAGGAGTGCCAGAGCTGTTCCATTGTTCACTCTCATCACATTCCTCCCTTTTGCAGCTCTAAGCAAGTTCTGATTCAAGCCCTGCTCTAATGGCAGCCTTTTCACAGGAGGGTGGGGGTTTGAGATGCTGGCTGAGCACCAGAGGCTAGTTTTCCTCTAGTGGGAATCAGTGCATGGACCAGCTCGATACCCCCTTCCACTATGCCACTGGCCTGAGGTGACCTGCCCTCGCTGTCCTTCCTCCCTTTCCACTGCTGGGGGCTGGCTCACAGCAGGCTCCT